GGGTCGTTGTTTTTAACGTTAAACTCAGAAGGTGATAAATCGTTGGTAGAGTTGTTATTATTTTACATGATCGAATTATTCAACCCGTATGATATTTGTAAGGTCTCTTTCGGCTCTCAAAATTTCGACAAAGCTCTTGCGAAAAAATTCAAGAATTGATATATTCAATTTTTTAGATATGGATGACTTGCAATTTACACGTTTACAAACTTTCACCAAGTGGCCTCTATATTTAAACTCAAAGCTTATTCTGCTTGCAGCCGGAGGTTTCATTTATTCCGGTACCGGAGATAGATGTATTTGGTATGATTTGCGGGTTATCTTTGAAAAATTGGAAATCAAGCGATATTCCGATTGATATCCACATGAAAAAGAAACCAAACTGTCGATTTATTAGTAGTTTCAATGAATTACAGAAAATGAAATTTTATCATGAAAGATTAAAAACGTTTTTAAATTACTCCAAGAAACCTAATATAGATCCATGTCGGTACGTAAGTGTTGGCTTTTATTGTAAAGATGATGAGATGAGATACATCACTTATAAAGATTTTTCAAAGTATGTAACAAGATTGAAGTCGTTTAAAAATAGACCTGTGCAAACCCATCCACTTAAAAAAGTGAATCCGCACGCTGCTTCTAGAGAAGGGTTTCTGTACTCAGGTGTCGATGCCTATATTATTCATGAATCTAGATGTGATTTTATATCAGATAATAATAATTCCGATGATAATGATGAAAATGATCGTCTTCTGTGTAAAATTTGTTTAGAAGCCGAAATAGACGCGGTGTTTCAGCCCTGTGGCCATGCGGCCGCATGTATAACTTGTGCAACGAAAATAAGAGATTGCTGTATTTGTAGATGTAAATTAGAAGCTAGTATACGAATTTATATTTAAATCACCAAAAAATTAAATCATTTTTATCTTAGTTTAAATCACTCGTATCGTTTTTAGGACATCGACGAAATTTGGGCTGATTTTTAGTTTTAGTTTTCCTCCGTAACTAGATATTTAATATGCACATCAAATACATAATCGATGTTGATGGTTTTACCGTAAATAATAAATTTAAAGTAAAAGAATTAGGTTTTTACGATCGTGACCATGAGGAGCTGGATTTAAAATATTATCGAGTAGGTGAATACTCTCTTTTGTCGACCAAAGATCAATTTCAAGCGCGTTGGGTAAAAAATCATGTTCACGGGCTGGAATATAAAGATTTCCCCGGTGATGAACCGGAAGAAAATATTCATTATTTATTATGGGGGATAGCAAAAGACGCTATTAATTCTGGGTCGTACATCGGTTATAAGGGTGGGCAATACGAAGCTAATCTTTTAAAAAGGCTCGGGTTTTCAGAAGTGGCTGTCAATATTGAAACCTTCGGCGTGAAAAAATTTAGCGAGATCGTTGCTGAATACCCGGATTTCCTAGAAGATTCGGTTTGTATGAGACATTCCTTGGTGATAGACAAAAAGTCGAAGCAATATACAACTCCTCATTGTCCGCGATTAGAAGTTTTATGTTTTCATAAGTATTTGAAAATGTTAAATATCTAATTTTGGATAGTTTTAAGAATTTTTATCTTTCTAAAAAATTAGCAATATGGATAGTTTACTTATTTTAAAAAAGACTGTAAGGGTTGTAATATGTAAATATTGTAGTAAACCACTAATAAACTCAAAGACCTATTTTAAACATCTTAAATCACATTTCCGCTGCGGGTTATGTAAAATCAAATTTGTCTCGGAAAATAGATATCTCAACCATCGTTGTAAATTTAAAGAATATTGTCACGTGCGACTAGAAATAATGTGATTAAAATTGAATCGAGCAAGTGTTTTGTGCGTTTACTTAATTTTTATAATTTGCGGTTTTTATTATTTTTCAGTATGTCGTGGCATTTAAAGAGTGTAAGAGAAGACCGATTCATTCAAAAATTTCAATTATATTTATCGACTTTTCAACTTACTACCAAACAAACCACGAACAATTCGCTTAATATAAACAATTTACGAACGGTTCTAGAAGAAAAATTAAACCGTCTCCGGCTAATAGCTAGTAATTCAAAATTCAATCATCCTATTTCAACTGAGACTGGTACAAATATAAATTTTAATAAATTATTGGATCAAATTGAAAATATTTTGACTTCAGATCAGAACGTTAATATTAATGGAACAATTTTTGATATACAGCTTTTTAAAATACCCTGGTGTTTTGGTCGTACCAGAAAAATTCTCAATTTAACGAAAGATAGACATGCAAAAAAAGTATTACTGTAATTAAAAATCATGATAATCTTTGTGCGCTGCGATCGATAATAACGATCCTTACTTACCATTCTAATGATATATTAGGTAATGAATTATCGCCACGACAAATAAAAAACATTAGGGATAATAAACCTATTCAAAGACGATTAGCTTTAGAACTATGTGAGACGTTAGAATTTAATACTAACGATGGTTTTTCTTTGGAGGATTTCGAAAAGGTTGAAAAGTTCTTAGATGTTCAGATTAAAATCATTGATTCTGAAAACTTTAATCAAGTCATATACGCGGGTGTTGAGCAAGCAATAAAACTATGTTTATATAAATATAAAAATCATTATGACGTCATAAACAGCTTAACAGGCTTTTATAATAGAAGTTACTATTGCCATCGCTGCGATATTGGTTATAACACAAAAAATAGACATAAATGTAAAACTCCTATTATCTGTCCTTTGTGTAAGCTTCCATCTCATGATTTAACATCGAGAGATAAAAAATACTGTAACGATTGTAATAGATTTTGTTACAATGATACATGTTTAGCTAACCATCACACAGTTTGCTCTACCGTTTACAAATGTACAGGGTGTAAAAAAAATTATAAGTAGAGAAAAGTATCATAAATGCGGATTTTCGATTTGTCATAATTGTTTGAAGGACGTTGAAACAGCTTCTCATAAATGTTTTATACAAAAGAAAGAAAGTAAGGGCGGCCTTTGTAAGATAATATGTGAATGCAACACAAACAATGCCCCGTTAAATAAAGGATGTTTGTACAAGGAAAGTTCTAAAGAGCCTATTATATGTAAAGAACCGTGTATATGTAACGACCGTTCAGATAAGAAAATATCACGCTGTACTTACAACGAAAAATATATTTTTTTCGACTACGCAGCTATGCAAAATACAGGAATACATGTTCCAAATCTTGTGATAGCTCAAGATTTTCACGGTAACAAATTCACCTTTAAAGATAATACAGCATTTGTCACCTGGTTGATCTCCCACGAGCACCAGGGGTATACGGCGATAGCCCACAATAGTAAAAGTTATGACTCATACTTTATTTTAAAGTATTGTGTAGAAAACGGAATTAAACCGTTTACAATCTACAACGGGTCGAAATTAATGCTTTTAGAAGTACCTTCTATAAAACTAAAAATCATTGACAGTTCTAATTTTGTTAGTGGGCCCTTATCAGATTTTCCAACTACCTTCGGGCTCAATGAAAATAAAAAAGGTTTCTTCCCCCACTATTTCAATATACCTAGTAATCAAAAGTACGTAGGACCAATTCCAGATGTTAAATATTACGCGACTATACGATGAAACCTAAACAAAGGGAGATTTTTCTCAAGTGGCACTCTGAACGTGTAAGTGAGAATTATATCTTCGACTTTGAGGCTGAGCTGGAATCGTACTGCGCCAGTGATGTTGACATATTAAGACGTGGATGTATAGCTTTTCGAAAGGAATTTCTTGAAATAGCGAATATAGATCCCTTCAATATTTAACTATTGCTTCAGTCTGTATGGCGATATACCGGTCAAAATACATGCCTACTGACACCATAGCTATTGATGAAAATGACAAAAAAGATACTTACAGTAAAGCATCAATCGCGTGGCTTAGGCAGTTTTCAAATGTTAGACACGCTTTAAATGGTGGGGAAGTTACGATTTGCGGGGCCAAAGTAGACGGCTTTGATGAAAATACAAATACAGTGTATCAGTATCATGGTTGTTTTTTTTTCACGGTTGTAAAAAATGTTACAATCCCGATACTATCAATAAACTAAATAATGAGACAATGGATGATTTATACAAAAAACTACTGACTCTATTGTTTATATTGATGATGGAACAAATACAGTCGAAACAGGGGAAATGTTAGGGGATTGGTCTAATGAATTAGGTGATAATGAATATATTATTGAGTGGGTGTCTACGGGTCCTAAAAGCTATTTTTTTAAGACTAACAAAGATCGTGAAGTTACTAAAATTAAAGGGTTTACGCTCAGTTATGAAAATAAAGAAAAACTAAATAGTGAATCTCTAAAAGCAATTATACTTGATAAAACTGATTCGGTTACATTAAAATTTGATCAAATTTGTAGAGATACTAAAACAAAAAATATTGTCACGAAAAAACGAACTTCAAAAACTTTTAAAATGGATTACAAAAAACGCCGTATTGTTGAAAATGATAATGATGATTTTATCGACACCCTGCCTTGGGGGGCTTGTTTCAAAGAAATATAGGGTACAAATTCAACTATGTAAAAATATTAGCTTTTTGAGGCGAAATGAAAACATATTTTCCTTTAGTTTTTACAGGAAAAATGACTGATGTACCGTCTTCCGTAATTGACAAAAATGATTTATTTTCGTGGAGTATTCATTCATTATTTGAAGATCATTTAGACTTTGCTCAACCTATTCTGATTGACTTAACCTGTTACGAATCAATGAATTTTTTATTCTGTATTGATTGTAAAAATATAACCTCGTGTAGTTGTTATGATTTTTACGTATATTGTATAGTGTGTAGAAAATTTACAATTCATGAACTATAAATTAAGTTTTTCTTGTGTGTGAAATCCTCCGAAGAATAAAACCTTTAGATTAACTAGACCTTTTATTTTTAGCTATTAAAGATATTTCCACATATCTTATTTTACTTTGGAAAGTTAGTATTCATTGTTAGATTCAGATCAAATAAAATGAATGATAATATAAAAATATTTTATGGTGAGGCTGGCCTACGAAAGATTTCTCGATTTTTAATAGAAGATGATGATTTAATGGCCGGCGCATTTATCGCGCAGTGGGCGGTAGAAGAACGCAAATGCTGCTTCATCTACTACGAATCAGAAATTCCTGTAGCTTTTATTCTTTTATCTGATTTAGACTATGACCCACTTAATGGGCATCGTCGACCTAGATTACTAAATTTCATTTACACATCACCTCCATATCGAAGAATGGGCTATGCGTCTAAATTGTTGGATTTTACTAGAAGTATCAATATACGGTTTACGGCTTTTTGTTCAAATACGATTTCCGAAAACTTGTTTAAAAAAAAGGATTTCTGTATAAACCATATGCTAACGGTTCACCAATGTTTAGAGCTCCTGACGACTTGTGAATGGTTTGTTTGTTAAGACTGTAATGTAATGTAATCTTTATTGCTAATTTTTTAGTATTGTAATTCACTTAGAAATATTGTTAAAGTATAATTTTGAGTTGTAACCTGTAAAACACACAAGTCTCTCTTATTATTTAAGCTGTAAAATCTCATTTCCCATTTTTATAAAATGTTTGTAAGAGTTGAAAAAATTATCATCCTAGACTAAACATATATTTTATTTTTTAGCTATTGAATGTTTGAGATATTGCCGAGTATCTTATTCTTATTACTTGGATCACTGGTGCTTATTCTTCGTTACAGACGTAATAAAATGAAAAGTCATATAAAAATATTTTGTGGTGGACGAGGCGCAAAATTGATTAATGGGTTTCCCCTAGAAGAAGAAGAAGACCGTTTAATGATTGTTTTATTATTTATCAATCCGTGGCTAGTAGTACATAAAAAATCCTGTTTTATATATTACGAATCAGAAATTCCTATAGCCTTCATGCTTCTGAGTGATGTGAACCATGACCCGTTTAATCGAGAACCTCAACCCATATTTTTAAATTTCATTTACGTAAGACCTGAATATCGCCGAATGGGCTATGCGTCTAAGTTGTTAGTTTTTGCTAGAAGATCAAATATTCAATTAACATCGTTTTGTTTAACTAATGCGTCTGAAAAATTGTTTAAAAAGCACATGTATCTTAATAAAGGATATCTTAACGGCATTACAATTTGCGTGTCGCATGATTACTCGTAAATAATATATCTTTAGTCTAGGACATTACAAATTATTTTTGTTGATAAGTTTCTGATATTTTTCAATATATTTCTGTTTGCACTAAATGAACCTATATTTGATAATTATCTTTTCATTTCAAAGCTGCTTACAAATTATATAAAAAAAATGCAATTTTGATAATACGTTTCTGATATTTTTTAATGTATTTCTCTTTGAAACAATCTGTTGCTATATTCGGAAATAAATATATCTTTTTTGGGAAATTACCAAGTGTTTTATTTTATTTTCAGATTGAAAACCCAAAATGTGCTTCTTACGTTGTGTGAAATGTTATACGCCGTTTGAAATAAGCGCTGAAGCTCTAATACACGGGGGGTTGTGTCTCTGCACTAATTCATTCATATTTTTCACATGTCCGTTTTGCTCAAACACTGAGTCTAATACATGATTTTTACGTATATTGTATAGTGTGTAGAAAATTTTTTCTTGTGAAATCCATAATTTCATGCCTTTCTCAGCAGACGTCAATTGAATATTAAATCGTTTTTACATCTGTGTTGTTTTATTTCTGCGGCGTCGCGTGCGTTGCGTGCGTGCGTTGCGTGCGTGCGTTGCGTGCGTGCCTCGCGTCCGTTGCGACCGTTGCGTGCGGCGTCGTGGCGCTGTCGTATTCGCAGCCTTCCTGGGAACGCAGGACGCCAATTTTTTCTTGTGAAATCCGTAATTTCATGCCTTTCTCAGCAGACGTCAATTGAATATTAAATCGTTTTTACATCTGTGTTGTTTTATTTCTGCGGCGTCGCGTGCGTTGCGTGCGTGCGTTGCGTGCGTTGCGTGCGTGCCTCGCGACCGTTGCGTGCGGCGTCGTGGCGCTGTCGTATTCGCACCCTTCCTGGGAACGCAGGACGCCAGGACGTCATTTGGGCTCTGACATGTCACTCAAATCGATCGGTGGTGGTGGTGGAGTCTGCCAATCTTTGAATTCTCCTTCAGTGCCATCATTAAAAATCAATTTTAATTTGTATCTCTTTGCTTCATCGATTGCTATGGAAAACGTATTTAGCTTCATATTATTTACCACCGAGAAATTCATCTTTCGCCATTCCGTTTGATTATCAAAACGTATCGCCATCTGTTGTACGCCCAACGGTACATTGGTATACAGTACGTTGTTTAATATAGCCGTAAGTATAATGAAATTAGCCTTTAAGATGGTCATATTTGCGCCGGTTGGATTCTTCTAAGTGGTCTAGGATGATATCTCTCAATATCCTCCCAAAGACTTAAATTTGATAGGTCTTTTAAAACTTGTTTTTTATCTTCATATAATTTTATGTCTCTTCTTAGTTTTTGAACTTTCTCTGCAAACTCTTCAATTCTACGTCTATTCTCTTCGCTAGACATTTCAATACTGAATACTTATTTTACTAATATTGTCGGGTGTAGGATACGCCTCCTCTCGGAGATCTAGGTTGTTAACCTTGACGCTCGGCCAACCCAGCTGTAGTAGTAGCAGTAGTTATTGTACCCTCGATACTAGCAGAAACTAACAGTCAAACGTCAAACGTCAAACGTGAAACGTCAAACGTCAAAACGGTAAACGTCAAACGTGAAACGTCAAACGTGAAACGTCAAACGTGAAACGTCAAACGTGAAACGTCAAACGTGAAACGTCAAACGGTAAACGTCAAACGTGAAACGTCAAACGTGAAACGTGAAACGTCAAACGTCAAACGTCAAAACGGTAAACGTCAAACGTGAAACGTCAGTCGTCAAACGTCAAACTTTTCGGTGCACATACCCCCCTTTTTCCCGTTTAAATCGGACCAATAGCAGTGAAGATATACGCTAAGGTCCTTTTGTCCTGCCACTGCGCATGATTTTTCTCTTGTATGTTAATCTATATCACGCTTTCTACATAAGCCCCTTTTCCCATTTAAATCGGACCAATAGCAGTGAAGATATACGCTAAGGTCCTTATGGCATTGCGCATCATTTTTTCTTTTCAACTTTAATCTATATCACGCTCTCTTCATAATGCCGTTTTTCCCATTTAAATCGAACCAACGATAGCTGAGATACACGCTAAGGTCCTTTTGTCCTATCATTGCGCATGATTTTTCTCTTGTATGTTAATCTATATCACGCTCTCTACATAGCCCCCTTTTCCCCATTTAGATCGAACCAACGATAGCTGAGATACACGCTAAGGTCCTTTTGTCCTATCATTGCGCATGATTTTTCTATTCGACGGTAATCTGTACCAAGATCTCTTCATAATGCCGTTTTTCCCATTTAAATCGAGCCAACGATAGCTGAGATACACGCTAAGGTCCTTTTGTCCTGTCATTGCGCATGATTTTTCTCTTGTATGTTAATCTATACGCCGATCTCTACGTAATGCCGTTTTTCCCGTTTAAATCGGACCAATAGCAGTGAAGATATACGCTAAGGCCCTTTTGGCTTTACCACTACGCAAAAATTCTATTCGACGAAATCCTGGGGCCACGGGCAGCTGTCTAACGACCGTTTTTGGCAAAATGGTGCGGTTTGGTTAGATGTCTTTTCGCAAAATGATGAAAATGGCCTCGTTTACGTGAACGTCATATCTCGTAGGTTATTTGTCTTTTCGCAAAATGATGAAAATGGCCTCGTTTACGTGAACGCCATATCTCGTAGGTTATTTGTCTTTTCGCAAAATGATGAAAATGGCCTCGTTTACGTGAACGCCATATCTCGTAGGTTACCTCTCACTCTTACACGTTGAATTCCCTATGTGAGGCCATGGTCACTTTGTCTATCTACTTTCCTACCATTATATTCATCCCGACGCTCAACGTCTCTATGCTCAACTTCCAGACGCCCTACTCACATTCCGCACCATCTAAGTATTTCCTACCTTACATTCATTCCGACGCCCAACCGTCCCATCGCTCTACTTCCGACGCTTGCCTTCCCTAAATATTTCCTTCGTAATATCCTTGTCGACACCCTTCGTCACGTCCCGCACCACCTAAATATTTCTATCGTATATCTGTTCCAATGCAGTACCGTATATCTGTCTCAATGCAGTACCGTATTAAATACCTTCCTTCACCACGACGCTAGGCGCCTCGACGCAAAGCGACGCTCAACGCTGCGACGTACCTAAATGTACGCCGTTACAACGCTAGATGAAATTAGTACATAATCTAATGTGTGTATTTTCGATGGTGAGTCAAAAGATTTATGTAAGTAACTTTTTTTTGAGATACCACTCGGGTCGTTTAGACGAGGGCCTGACATTTTCTTCAAAATATTATCAATTTAACCATATGGCCTTCAGGTCATACACCCCAAAAGACAATTAGGATAAGCATCTGTTTTTGATCGGTGAAATTTTGAGTATTTCAATAGAAATTGTAAAAATCTATATTAAGAAATATACAGGGTTGTATTAAGTTATTTCAATAGAAATTATAATAATCAATATTAAGAAATATCGAGGGGTTCGAGCGAAAACCTAATAAATGTCAAAAATACGAAGTTTTTTTTATTTCTACTGTATTAAAAGCACATCTCCTACCACTAATAAATATTATTATTTGGTATTAGCATTTTTACGTACGATAACGAACAAAAACCAAACATGTTAAAACTCGTTATCATATGTTTACGTCCTTCTTAAAATAACGGAAAACCGATATATAACTTTAAACAATAAAAATACTTCGGTGTGGAATATAAAATTCCGGTATATTCAATTACTTTTTTTTCTTGCCATAGTTTTTCATTTTGTGAAAACTATTTCCGAGTTAAAAATGGATACTCGATTTTATCGGATTTTTGAATTCTTGACAAGTGTCTGAAATATAAAAATAAGTGTAAGAAAAATAAGTTAAAACGACCCAACTACTGTTTTTTTAAATAAATTCATAAATTGCTGTTTTAAATACACATAAATGCATTTAAAGAAGTTTAAGTTTACTATTTTTGGTTATGTCAGCATGACTTACATTTTTGTAATGATTAGTTCACCCTTGCCTGGACTCGCATAAAGACAATGCGTTCTTTATGAGTTATACAGGGTGTTTCAAAAAGGTATGTCATAAATTCATCCTCAGACAGATTACCCAAAAATAAGAGGATTTGGCTATATTTACCTATATCACAAACTGGCTCCCAACAAAGTTACAGGGTGTTACTAACATTCAGAAAAACGTTTTTTTTTTTTGTAAAAAGTTTGCTGTTGTGATTTTTTCTTCGAAATGTTTGCCAGTGCTGTAGATTTCAAGGCTTTAGCGGAAGAACAGACATTTTAGTTCAAAAGACTTAAATGCACTGAGCTAAATGCCATTTACTCAATGTTTCGTGTATAATTTATTTGTTATGTTTACATAATACTATTGAGTAATAAACGTATTTATTATTATTATTATTATTATTATTAATATTCTAAGGAGAAAAAAAATTTAAAGCGACCCCTTTAAAAAAAGTTGGGGGGTTGGGTACCTTTTAACCCCCCGTATTTTTTTTTGACATAAAGAAACTTGCTTTATCGATCCTAAAATCAAAAAGAACTAAGAATTTTTAAATTTTTTTATAACGAAATGAACTTTGTATCTTTCTTAGCTAACGAGCTATTTACAATTTTTTAACTAAATTTCTAGAGCAATTTATCCGTTCTGGACTTAACATATCAACAAAACTAAGAGTAGGTCAGGAGTAATTGTACAAAAAACGCATCAGTGGTGTGCCTATAGGGCTGTGCTTGAGCCGCCCCTGCAAAAACTACCTCTTTTTTTAAATTTGGTGTCATCGGCATCGACTACTAAGGCCATTAGCCTCGTGTTCTGTGTAGGCTTTGTTACTGTTTCCCAGCGCCACTTTAGGAACAGCACTGTTAATTAGAACCCAACAGTGAATGATCGAGTGAGGAATCCTACCAAGGCATCAGAATTTATATTTTTGTAAAAAAGGTATTTATAATATTGGATTGGCGCCATAAAAATGGTATGCCACCCGTCCTCATGGGTTCACCATGCCACTGATAAAAATACACGTTAGTTATGAAATAAAAAAAAAATATTTTACATAATATAACTTTAAAACCAATTAAGTTTAGACTTATCCTTAAAACTTCCCAGAAAAAGTACAGAAAATTTAGCAAGAAATGTTTTTGTCCACTAGCCAACAGTGAAATAATTCCAGTGTGCCAAAGATTTTTTACAAAAACACTTTGCATATCACCAGATGCCATAATGAATGCTGTAGCTAACAGTGATTCTACTGGATGCTATGTTAAATAAAATAATCGCGGAAAACGGGAAGCAATAAATAAAACAAAGGCTGAAGATGTACAATTTATCAAAGATCATATCGAATCCTTTCCGGTTATGGAATCACACTATACCCGAAAGGATGCCATTAGGAAAAAAATGTACCAGCTCTATCTAGGTAAATGCACTGACAACAATCGAGAACCTGTTTAATCTACGTTAATATCGATCTATTTTTTGTGAAGACTATCTCAGTTTTTTTTTACCAAAGAAGGACCAATGTCTTATCTGTGTCAAATATGCCAAGGCTGAGCCCGAGCACAAAACAAAACTTGACAAAACCTATGAAGAACATAGAAAAAGAAACGAAACCTGTGAGGCCGCTAAAAAAAAAAGATAAAGACAAAAAAAAAAGATAAAGACAAAAAAAAAAGATAAAGACAAAGCAAATAAAGACAAAACATTTATGTCTGTAACATTGGATTTACAAGCATTTTTACAAATACCTAAAGGACCAGTTGGACAATTATACTATCATAGAAAATTGGTGGTATACAATCTTACCATTTGGGAATCACCGCTACCGAACAATGGATATTGCTTGTACTGGAATGAAATTAATGGCAAAAAAGGTAGTTGTGAAATCGGAACCTGTATGTATTACTATTTAAATAAATGTTGAAAGAGTAAAACCAAATTTGGTAGATTTTCACACTTTTATTTTAAAAATAAAAATAAAAAAAAAAAAAACACTAACATGACATATGTTTCGAAGTACAACTTCTTTTTCAAATTTGAATAATGTTCAAATACTCGGATATATATTTTGAATTTATTTATATACCTAATTTAAATGTTTCTTTTTAATCTATTGCTTAAAAATAAAGGCAGAAGAAAAACGACTAACAAAATTCTGATTTGGGACTATTACGTTACGGCAACATTGTATTTATTTATTTCCTCGTAGCGCTGGCGTTTTATTTGGTAAATGAAGGGAACCCCAACGTTGTTTCACATTCGCACTTTTCACACGCTTGTTTATGTTTGTTAAGTTATGACTTACAAGTTATTTTATTCCTATTAGTGCGTGTATGTTATAAAAAAGAAAATCCTGTGTAAATTATGTACTTACAACTTACAATGTCATACACAGAAGTAGTACCAGTAATTTGTGGATTCAATTAAGAATTAAGCATCATACCAAAACAAACAGGTATAAATTATACGTTAAAAAAATATACAAATACTCGTATAATCGAATATTCGAATACTCATATACTCGAATATTCGAATGTACGAATAGTCGAATATTCGAATAGTCAAATAATCGAATACTCGAATATTCGAATACTTAGAAATATTCGAATAGTGAATAATTTAGGTATTCGAATAAAGTTTCAAACGAATATTCGAATACAAAAATCTGAAAAATTCCGAGCCCTAGTGATTATAACCGCACATTTCTTGACTTTGAACATGATTTTTGTTGTTTTTAAAATTCTAAAGTTAAACCATAATGAAAAAAATCCGTTATGACTTAGTATATTTTTACATGATCTTAATTTGTAACCGAAAATGATTTTATTTATATCATCACTAGAGGTCACCACGTGTATGTGTATTGTCTAACTGCTAAACCAATTTATACCGTTCAGGTACTTTTAATTGTTGACTTCCACCATATCAGAAACATGTTTTCGATTTTAATCAACTGTTGCGTCGGCTGAACGGGCTCATTGTAAAACATACTATAGGCCCATACAAGGTGAAAGAACTAAAATACAATGAATTTTTTGACCTAAAGTCACTTGCAGCAAACATAATGCAAAACAGAACAGTAGATTCCGACGGTAATGCTGGGCATTGGTTAAAAATCAAGATACTAAAACATGTTAAAGGTGAAAAAAGACGCATTTTTTCAGTTATGACCTTTCAGAAGAATTTAAGTGTTTAAAAATATCAGAAGAAATTGTTTCAAATGCACCAAAAACTCCTGCGCTGCGGTCTAAAAGACAAAAACAACCTGTATCCCAACAAGCAACTCCAGACTTACCGACTCCGAGCAATCTACCAAAGTTATATAAAAGTAACCTTCCCATAAGTGAAGCGAAGAAAAATGATTTGATGAAGATGTGCAAAGAAAATATTTTTATAGCAAATTTAAAAACTGCTAAAGTTTTAGATCGGATTCCAGACGTAGTGATGGAGAATGAATCGGAAGAAGAAGACATTACATCATAATTAGTCACTTATTTTGTTATTAAAAAATAAAAACCTATAAAACAAAATTTTGTACTCATTCGCCGAAGAAAAACCCAATAAATATTACATTTTGTTTTTTTTAACCGATTTTATATATTAAATTAAAAATACATCTCTGTAACTAATTATTTGATTATCTACCGTTTGGCTACAATAAACGTTTGATAAACCATACTAGATGGTTTTAAATCTTCTTCAAAGTTACTAAAATCTTTAATTGCGATTATGTCGAAATAATGATTTTGTCAGTTATCGGGTTTTCGCTCGAACCCCTCGATATACAGGGTTGTGTTAAGTCATTCCAATAGAAAGTATAAAAATCAATATTTTAGAAATATCATGGATAAATTGTACAAACCGAGATCTCAGTAAATAGTACCAATTGTAATATACTTTGCTAATTATTGCATCACATTGAAAGTATAAAAAAATAAAAAAAGGTTAAATATGAATTTGTATGTTTTATTTATCAATTTGCAATTTGCACCAAACTTTGCATGGAATCCTGGTTTACCTTAATTAACATTATCACAACGTGAGTATATAAATTATCAATTAATTAACTAGACGATCACTTCTACTACTTAAGGAAAAAGGCCAAATACAGTAAGTATAAATTTAAAGTAAAACTTGTGAGGTAAATAATAACATTTCAGAGAGAATAAAATAACGAACAAATGGGGTACCGGGGGGTGGGCCGTCACAGCACCCTGCATTATTTAAAAATAACATTTTTTTAGTAAAATTTTATAATATTCTAAGAGCCTAAAAATAGCCTAAAAATGTGGTGTGGTTGTCTTTAGAAAAAGCTTTAAAAAAACGAGATGCTCTTGACATCTTTCAAAGCTAGCAATTTTTTTCGAAAAGTTTTATAATATTCCAAAATTAGCCTAAAAATGTGGAATAAGTAGTTTTTAAAATTAAACTGAGATGCTTTACTGACTTTGATCCAACATTTAAAAAATATTTTTTTTTTGTTTTTGGAAAAATAAATTAAAAACCGAGATGCTCTGCTTACTTCATTCAAATCTAGCAGAGTACCTGGAGGAGTATAAAATTTTTGAATAGGGTATTAAAATAGCCTAAAAATATGTAACAAATTTCAACTAAAAATTCCTTAGGTGCTCTTCTGACTTCTTATCTCATAATATCTATGATCATTATTTTTTTACACATCACAATCTAATTATTTACTTCTTTGGCATAATATTTATGATCATTATTTTTTTACACATCACACACTAATTATTTTATTACTTTTATTTTTTTCTCAAAACAAGGGATTTATCACTACTTATCAAGCACCTTATTCATACCAAACTTATTATTAGTTTAATTGAAATATATATTTTTTTGATAAACAAAATTATTATTTGCATACTGGTATATCTGAATATTAATTTTGAATTGATCTGATTCAAATTAAATACTCGACCCTAGGTTCTATATACCTAATTTATAATAAAAAATATTTTGAACAGAATGTTGCTTTTTTATAAAGTTAGTTGTAAATACATTAAATAAGTCAAGCAGGTAAAATGTCAAGAGTATTCTTCATCTTACCTGGTCACAAATAAACTGGGCATGTTGTACTAGTTTATCAATCACATTGGTGAACTCTCCTGTGTTTTCTATATGTTCTAGTAGGTCTTCTAATTGTGGATTTACATTACCATAATCAAATAAAAATTCTACCACCAATTTGGCTAATCTTGTTTTTTCTTTAACGTCTCTAAAAAGTGGTTCATATTCAGGAGATGGTTCCATGAGATAATAATAGCCATAATAGGTAGTAAATCCTATGGGTAATTTCTCCCCTCCATCATAACCTGCCATCCACCATTCGTTAATTGGTCCTAAATCATGAGCAGGTATACCATTCTCTGTAGAAGGATCTTCATCAAATATAGGTTTGATGTATCCAGATACATATAGTTTTACGTTGCTTTCAATGAGGCCATTGTCAAATGCACATAAGTGACTATTTTCGTCATAAACTGTAAAACAAGTGACCTAAAATAAAAATGCAAGTATTAGAAAATATTTATAAAAAAATTAATAATCTTTTTATTACGACTGAATGTAAAAATGTGTGTCTACATATTTTTTGTCACTAATTATGGAGGACTAATCAAAGAAACTATCCAGAAACCATAGATAAATAAAAAGATGGAACCTCATGTAATAAAGATAAAAAGTTTTTCAGGCGACTAGGAGAAGTTTCTCACCTGGCAACTCATAGAAGTCCAAAAGAACACTTTTTGTCCGTGTTTCATACATTATTTTTTTATTCGAATATGCTTATAGATATTATTTCCAATTTTTCTAATAACTGAGATGGCTGTGATCTATAAGACTGGGTAGGTATATGATACAATTATGATACTAGACAGGCAGACAATATTCGAACTAATCGTTTTCGTTTAACCAAGCCAAGGAAAAATTTGCTGGACTATAGCCTATACCAGTGGTCGCCAACCTCTCAATGTGTTGAGCTACTTTGTTAATTTTGGAATAAACAGCGAGCTACCCACACGGAAGCCACGTAAGGCAACGTAAATGAAATAATCCACAGTTAATTTATCATTATATGTATGTATTTTACTATTTTACTAATAGTTAATAATAACAAAAAAGTAACGCACTATCATGAACATAAACATTGAAAAATAAAAAAGCACGTTCAATGAGAAGGCTGACACTCAGACTCATCGATAATTTTTTTAATGTTTGCAGTATAATTTGATACAGCCATTCGAATACAATTATCCAAATGTTCATCTGTAAGTCGATTGCGATATTTGTTCTTAATAAATTTCATATTGGAAAAAGAAGATTCACACAAATAGGTTGAACTGAATAATGCTTTCACTTTCAAGGCAACACGGCATAGAACTGAATATTTATCTTTACTTACAATAGGCCAGATACATTTGGTATTTGAGACTAACGATTTTAAGGCTAAATCATTTTGAAACTCAATGACTTCCATTTTTGTTGCAGCGATGTCTTCGCCAAAGTTCTGAACACAAGTTGCAAACTGTTGGATATCAATTTCCATAAAGGGTGAAACAACAAACTGCGCTACTAAAGCCATTTCGTTGAAATCCTTAAAACGATTTTTGAAGTTATTCTTCAGGGTAGAAACTATTTCTACATGATATTTGCTGTCATAGGGTTCTAATGGATTTTGAGATATTTTTTCTGAAAGAATAGGAAAACGCTTGGCATCGCTGTTAATTAGGTTTTGTTCTTTTTGATAAATGCTTTTATATCAAAAATCATTTCCGCTAGTTCTTTGTCTCTCCCCTGAAGCTGCAAATTAAGTTCATTTAATTTCTCTATAATGTCCACGAGAAAACCAAAATCTCTAAGCCAGATTGAATTTTCTAGTTCCGGAGTCGGTTTATCGCGTTGTTTGAAAAATTGAACTATGCCAGATAGGACATCATTAAAACGTTTCAGCACCCGTCCTCTACTTAACCATCGGACTTCAGAGTGAAGGAGTAGGTCCCCGTATTGACAGTCAACTTCATCGGCCAAGGTTTTGAATAATCTTCTTTGTAACGCTTGAGCTCTAATCTTGTTCACAATTTTTACCACCAGTTTCATAACGTTGTTTAGTTTCAGGAAATTTCCACATAATGCTTGCTGATGGATAATGCAGTGGTAACAGATAAATTGCGGAAAAGTTTCATCTTTACGACATAACGCCACCAGACCCTCATCACAATCCACCATAGCTGGAGCGCCATCGGTTGTCAAGCCTACCATTTTTAATATTGAAATTTTCTCGGAAGAAATAATATTTTTTAAATGAGAAAACAACTCCTGTCCAGTAGTGTCCTTTCAGTGGAATAAACTTCAAAAGACCTTCTTTAATCGTAAAATCACTAAAAACCATCCTGACGAACACGACCATCTGGGCAGTGTCAACGACATCTGTTGATTCATCCAGTTGAAGTGAAAAATAAACACAGTTATCTAAGTCAGTTCTTAACTGTAAAAAAATGTCATTGCTCATTACTTCTACACGTCTCATCACTGTATTAGCAGAAAGTTGCATATATTTTATAGCTGAAACTATCTCGTCTTTATTTCTAAAGTTGGCAAATAACGAATCGGCAGCTTCTAAAAACGCCTGTTTTATCATTTCCCCGTCTTCATAAGGTTTCTATTTTTTGTGCAATTATCTGGGACACACGGTACGATGCTTCAGTTGCAGCCTTATTTTTGTCGACTGTTCTTAAAAATATTGATTGTTGTCCAATTAACTGCTTTTTTAACTGTTTCAGTTTCTCCTTTCTGGCGGCAGAATGTAGTGGGAATGATTTTTCAAAATTACAATGTACAGTTTTATGATGTCTCTCAATATTTCCTTTTTTAGCAACGGAGACCGAAGTATTACATAACAAACACACATTTTTATCTTTAACTTCTGTAAAAAGGTATTGTTCTTCCCATTCCGAATGAAAGTGGTATGTCTTTACCTTCTTACAACTGCTTGCCATAATATTATTTTTTGTTGTTCTCTACTAACCCAACCGCTGGACGTTGGTTACGCGTTCAGTTTTAAACTAAGCGCAATGTCGCCGCGCCGTGCGTATTTATCCCATTCAAAGCAATCCTGATCGTTCTCGAACACTAAGGCGCTGGTCCGGCTGGTCGGTTCTAGCCGATTCTAACTTGATGGCGTCAGCGGCAGATCACTCACCGCAACGTTGCCGCTGTTTATGTTTAATATTATGGCAATTAGATTTTTTTGTGGAAGTTTATTATTGTTATTGCTTCTACTCTGTCAATGAATATGTGAAAATTTATTAATATATATACAACTATTTTTATTATGTTTGTGTGTTTTTAGTTTTACTATTTATATGAATGTTTTATTGTGTAGGTACTATATATGTTTTTAAATTTCGATTTTATTCAGACTTGCTACAAACATTGTAAACTAATGTAATGTAGTTAAATAAATAAATAAATAAATAAATAAATAAATTAAATAAATAAATAAATAAATAAATAAATAAATAAATAAATAAATAAATAAATAAATAAATAAATAAATAAATAAATAAATAAATAAATAAATAAATAAATAAATAAATAAATAAATAAATAAATAAATAAATAAATAAATAAATAAATAAATAAATAAAAAATATTCATAATAATTATTTATTGAACAATTGCTCTTAAGCTATGTACAGACTCAATTTTCAATGTTGACCAATGCCAACGGCACATGTACTGTAGTTGGCATTGGAAACTAATGGAAAAGATTTGAGAACTCATCCATACTGAAATTTTAGTGTTGCATTGGAGCAGTGCCGGATTTATATTTTTTATGAGTGTAGGGCACTTTATTTCCACCGCCCCTGTACCTTTCTAAAATAATAATTTTCCATTTGTAGTAAGGAAGGCACTAAAGTTAAATAAACGAATTAATTAGTCATTAAGAAAGAGCTTAAAAAAGAAACAAGAATTACAATTTTTATGGGACTTTTTAATAGCAAAATCATCTATAATGTCATCATAGTTTATGGTGTTCATTTTCTCTGCCAGGGCCGATTAGAGGGGGGGGGGGGGGTAACCGGGACCAATATAAAGGGGGCCCGGCAGCGGTATAAAGGAGGCCCGGCAGCGGTATAAAGGGGGCCCGGCAGCGGTATAAAGGGGGCCCGGCAGCGGTATAAAGGGGGCCCGGCAACGGTGGTGTTTGTTTCTTTCAGAAATTTGACACAAGAGAAGGGAAGCCCTTATTTTTTTTTTTTGAGGAGAATTCTAGTGGAGGAGATAAATTTTTGCTTGAGGACCTTTTGTTATTTAATGTTTTATAAAATTGTCGCGGGGCCCGATGTGGAGAATTGTCCTGGGGCCCGGTCTGGCTCTCGGCGGCCCTGATCTTCGCTTCTATGAGAGAAGAACTAAAGAATTCATTTTTTCTTTGACAATGAAGACCTTTGATAATTTTTCATTTCCTCATTTTCCAATAACTATTTGTTGCCGGAGTGGAAATTGCAATGCAGAGAGTTATATCTAAGTTAGGGTAAACATTAGACAGAGATTGATTTTTTAAAAACGTTGAGATACAGTAGTGAGTTTGATCCAGGCTTCATTGCACACTCTGCAGTTTTACAGTCTGTTCGCTATACTTACGCGGGTTTCGGATTAACAAAATTATGCAAATTAGTCATTGACAACGAGTTCCAATAAGCCTCGTCCCAAGAAATTAGGTAAAATTGCCCTAATGGTCAGATTTAAATTAAAATAACATTAGGGTAGGTACTAAATTTGTTACAAATATTGCAGTTGAATTGATTCTTTGCAAGTGTTGTTGTATATTGTAAGTTTAGTGGAAATTTTAAAAATGCCTAGACGTGTGTTAGATGTAGATAGTCTATAATTTGTAGTGTGTAGTATTTTACGGATGAAAAAGAAAATGGTGGTCCTTTAAAATCGGTAATGTCTGTACAACAACGCGTATGCGATGCTCTAGGAATTAGTGAAACCAAATTAAGAGGAGTATTACAAAATCACAATAGTGAACTAACGAAAGAAGATCACTGCAAAACTCGCCCCTCATGAAAACGAAAGATATTCTAGATGGTAAGAAATTTGAAATTCGTGATATCATTTACCGAATGAGGGCCAACAAGGAACATGTGACCTTAAATACAATTCTCTCGGAATTAATAGATAGAAAATTTGACGACATTGGCAGAACAAGTCTATGGCAAGTGATAACATAACTTAGGTTTCAAATTTCAAAAGGAGGATAACAGAAAGGCCCCTTATGAAAGTAGTTATGTCGTGCACAAGAGAATTAACTTTCTAAGAAAATATTTTAAATTTAAAGAAAAAGGGGCGAATTTTATATATTTAGACGAAATATGGATATTTTCTAGGGGTGCAACCAAGAGAATATGGCCAGATGATAACCTAGTCCATCAAACATACCGATGGAGAAGGGAAGCGACACATAATTTTACATGCAGGAGGGAAATCAG